CCCCAAAACCCCAAAACCCCAAAACCCCAAAAGCTATAAATTAAAGTCAAAATCAAAGGTAAAAAGTAAGATTTATCGATCCAAATAATGTCGGTTTAATAATGCTAAATTCTCTGTAACTCAACAAACAGCTTTAATAAGAATAAGTAAAGATACTTGCTTCATTGGAGGATAATTTCTGAATTAGAGAAGAATTATGCTGGAGAGATAAAGCTGCCAGTCATTCCAACCATTGCTCTTGGAAAAGATAGCCATCTATCGGCACATAACTAAAGTAATGTAAAAAGGGAATATGATCTTACTTCCTTAGTTGAAGGTCTTTTCAATGGATCTACATTGAGCATTTTAGTAATGAGTCGCTTTGCCTCGAAAGGTACGGTTTCAGGCATATGGAAAAGCCCTCTTGATATTTTACTAAACAAATCTCTCTCGTTTTAGCCCTTGAATGGATAGTTGCCTGATAGGATCACAAAGAGGATGATCCCTAATGACCATACATCTGTTGAGAAACCACAGTAATCTTTCTTCAAGACTATTTCAGGAGCCATGTAAGATGGGGTCCCACAGAATATCTTTAGCTTTTAATCAGGTGGAGTACATATACTAAAGCCAAAGTCAATAAGTTTTACATTATTTCTGTCGTCTACTAGAATATTTTCAAGTTTGAGATCTCTATGACAGATATTTTAGCTATGAAGATATCTCACACTTTCACAAAGCTGCTTGAAGAAGAATCTGGCTTGATCCTCAGCTAAGATTCTCTTTGAAGTCTTGTTTTTAATATATTGATACAGACTAACTCCGTTAATATACTCCTAAATTAGGTAGACTTCTTTAGATGTCTCAAAGTTCTCGAATAATTTTACTATGTTTGGATGGTCAAGCTTCTTCATACATATAATCTCTCTTTATACAGCTTTTTTCTTAGTTGGATCGTTTAGCTTGTACTTAGGATAAATTTTGATGGCAACTTTTTATTTAGACTTTTTGTTTTAGCCAAGTTTAACTGTAGCATAAGCTCCTGAGCCTAATAGTCTTATCAATTAATAATCCTCTAATTTATTTATATTTAGGTCGTCTGAGCTGGTTATTTACTTCCTTAACTACATATCCATTGTATCTGGAATAATTTATTGTGCCTGATCTTTAAATGACATTTAAACCCTAGTCTATGATTGAACTGGCCTTCTTCTTGCTTAACTATTTTGAATCTAATTATGCATTTGATTGTCCTTGTTACTCTCATTCGTAGCTGTGTCAGCTCTTGACATTGTCCCACTAGAATGTAGCATTGTTTTACCATTTGAAGCTGTCCCTGGCAATGAATCAATTGGTGGGAGAGATGACAGGCCACCAATATTATTATCTTCAGCTGTAGAATCAGATGAAGATTAAGTTGCAGTGAATTGGTTCTTATCTAGCTTAGCAAAGTAGTTTCTTAATTCTTGATGAGCTTTTTCAGCTCTCTGTAGTAGGCTAGCTTTGTCTAAAAATAAATTAGAATCTGCTAGTATTCTGCCGTTACTATTGTAAGTTCCTGGATTTATTTCCATTTCACTATATTTTTATTCAAGCTGTTTAAGTTAAGAGTCAAGATATTTCTCTTGATTGATGAGTCTCTACAAGATTTGGTCCTCCTTTCTAATGAACCCCTATCTTATTTAAGGCTAAGCTTATTAATCCTGATTGCTTATAGAATTTGAGGAGGAATTTAATGTTTATTTCCTCTACATACTAATATTCCTTTTGGATGAGTGAATGACATTCTTTTTGCTGAGTCCTAGGCCATTTATGTTTACCCCCAATTCAACATTTTGTTCTTCATCTGGAGATAAGAATCTTCTTTTTGTCTGGTTTTGCTGTAACTTATTACTATTGCTATGATTTTGTCTGACAGTTGCACCATGATGAGGATTATTGCTTTTTACTTCATTATTTTAATTACTTTCATAGCAACTAGTTTTACTGCCAAAGAGTGTCTCTCTACTCAAAGTTCCTTTTATCAATTTATTTTAAGTCTAGACTTAATTCTGCATATTCCCATTATTGCTAATAGTTCCATTCAACATTAATGTTCTTTCAATTGAACCTAAACTAAACAAGAATGGTTGAGATATAAATTCCCAAAACTGTGGTCGGAATAAAAGAAAACCTTGAAAGGCAAGGTTTTAATTTAAAAATCACTTACTTCACCTTATAAGGTTAAGAGGGCAGCTCAAAAGGTTATTTGTAGTTAGTTGAATTCAGCTTCGTTGCAATTTATCGGGGCTAAAAGTCATTGGTAGTTTTTCCTACAATTTACAATAAATATATATTAAGTGGTTACTGTTAAGGAAGTTAACCTTCATATTTGCGTCCTTCGCTATTTTAATCGTATTAAAAAAATTTATTATCCATTCTGCAAAAATTATAGCATTAACCCCATGGGGTTTTGGGGTTTTGGGGTTTTGGGGTTTTGGGG